TATATATATATATATATATATATATATATATATATATATATACGTATTTACCGCAGACACGTGGCCCCATCGTGTCTTTGGGCCAGAGAGAAAAAAGGGGTTTTAAAATCAAAAAGCGTTTAATATCTAAATTATATTTAATATTTAAATATATTTTAGATTTTTATATCCATTATACGGCGAAAATGCTCTGGAAGGCAGCACATGTTTCCTTCAGGAGATGTCGATACACCGGAAGCGCCACCGGGCGACGGGGGGGGCAGAGGTGGGGCCCCCGTCCTTCTTTTTTAATGAATATTTGCTTGAAATAGATTAAATTAATTAATTAATTTGTTTTTTAAATTATTTTTTGCTAAATATTTCCTTTCTTTCTCCACATTTATGGGAATAAGGCGCCGCCTCTCCGCACACGAAGAGCAGCAGCGCCGGTGTGCAGTTGCAGCTGCCTATACACCGCAACACAGACCACTGTTACCACTCATATTTACCCCAGCACACATCCGTCGAAATCAAAAGATAAATAAATATAAAATATTCTCTTCAACCCTCAGTGCTACCGCCGCCGCCGCAGCAGCAGCAGCTGCTGCTGCTGCTGCGGCAGCTGAGGCCGGGTCCCTCCGCTGGTAGCTGTGCGGGAGGCAAGCGCCGCTGCAGACAGCTGCTACCCGAAGTAGGGGTAGGAGCCTTTGTGGGGTTGAAATGTTGTGTCTTTGAGATATTACTTTGTCTTTGTCTTTGTTTTGAGTTTCTTTGAGTCTCTTTAGAGGCTCTAAAGTGACTGGGGGCCCCCCAAGCCACTGGCTTCACTCAGGGTGATGGCGACAGAGGAGGAGACAGCCGGAGACAGCAATAAAAGGCCAGCTGCAGCAGCTGCAACAAGTAGATATCCTTTCTATGAGGAGTTGTGCCCCACAACTCCCCTCGATGGGGTGCTTCGGGTTCGTGGGGGCCCCTGGGTCCCCCGCTAGACTACGTGTTATTGCAGCAGCTGCTGCTGCTGCTGCGTCCCTGCTGCTGCTCGCTGGGGCCCCTGTTGAGGCGAGCAGCAGCAGCGGGGAGGTCTCTTCAGCAGCAGCAGCTAGTGGTGTCTCCCTGACAGGCAGCACTTTAAGGAACCCCACAGTCTCTGCTGTCTCCGCTGTCTCCTCTGGGTCGTGGGGGGCCCCAGAAGCAGCAGTAGATAGTAAAGGAGACGAGGCAATGTATGTTTTTAAGGTTTTGCATGCGTTTGTTGTCGAAGTGTGTTCATGGGGGGTGGGGTTGTTGTTTTCTGGGTCTATAGGAGACGCTACGAGCCGTTACTGTGTGCGTTTGTGTGTGTGTCTGTCTCTTGTCTCTTTATTGGGGTGTCTCTTCACCTTTTTGCGTCTCTTTTTCTCGCATATTCAGAATTACTTTGAGCCTAAACTGCAGCGAATGATCTGTCGCATTGGCTGCACTGTGATGTTTTTGTCTTTTTTCTCGTCTATCGCCTGTCTCTCCGTCCTCTTAGAGCTGAGCCCCCCCGAGGAGCCTCCGCATTACCAACTGTCTCCTTCATGTGGGGCCCCACCAGCAAAGGGGGCCCCAGGAGGAGACACCTTCTTAGCCCCAGTTCAGGCCCCCTTCAGTAAGCTTGCCTCTCTAGAAGAAGCAGAGGAAGCGGTAGGGGGGCCCTTCGTCTTGCCTCGGGGGGCCCCCATAAGAGAGCTGATGAGCGCAGAGACAGAGGAGGAGACAGCAGGTGTCTCCGCAGCAGCTTCAACAGGCGCTCCTCAACTGTCTCCTTTTGAGGTGTCTACACAACCCATTATCAACGGGGGCTTAGAGGCTCCAACAGCAGCCGCCTCTCTAGAGCTGCCACCAGCAGCAGCAGCAGCAGCAGCAGCAGCAGAACCAGCAGCAGCAACTGCAGCAGCAGCAGAATACCAACAAGGGCGGAGGCGGATCCCTTATCGCGAGCCCTACTTCGCGCAGCAGCAGCTCTTTCTCGAGTTAGGGAAGCAGCTTGCGCAGAGCACTGCCCTCTATTCATTTTCATCTTTGATGATAAACTCATGTGGTGAGGAGCGAGATAAAGTGTCTCTCTTCTCTCCACTAGGTGTCTCCTTTGGTGTCTCCTTATCTCTCTCTGCATGCAAGGGAGTTAAAAAGGGTTTATATGCATCGCTTCGTTTATGCCGCTGTCTCCTTGGGTCTTTTGTATAGCCGAGGTGTCTCCTTGGCTTTCTTGCTGCTTTGTTTGCTTCGCTTGCTCTTCGGGTTTTTGCTTCTGTCTCCTCGCTGTCCCTCTCAGACAGGTCTGCTGTATCTTTGTCTGCTATTGTTGCCTCTGCCTGTTTCTCTATTTGTCTGGTTGTCTCTCCCGTTGTCTCTATCTGCCTCTCTATTTGTCTCTGTCTGTCTCTTTCGTTGTCCCTGCCTCAGTCTCTGTTTCTGTCTCTGTCTCTGACTCTTTTTCTCTCTCCCTCTGCCTCTCTCTCTCTCTCTCTCTCTCTCTCTCTCTATCAATCAATCAATCTATCTATCTCTCTATCTGTCTCCCTGTCTCTTTCTGTCTTTTTTTATCTGTCTCTCCCTTCCCGAGTTTATTCCTTTTGTTCGTTCGCTCGTTTGCTGCTGCCCCTGGCTGTCTCCGGCTGTCTCCACCTCCCTATCTGGGGGCCTCTCAGTGTCTCTGCAGCCCAGCAGCAGCAGCAGCAGCAGCAGCATCATCATCTTGCTGCTGCACTAGCGTGTGTGTTTGGCTTTGTTTATCAGGAGGCTTTCGTTGTCTGTCTCTAACTCTTGGCTGCGACGGCCAGGTGGTGCCCTTTGTCTTTCCTCTGTCTCTTTTTCTGTCTCCTTTTCTCCCCTCTCCCCGAGACCTTCGTCTCCTCAAACTCGGGGTCATGCAGTTTGTCTTTGTGCTGCCTCTTTGGACTGCTGCCAGTCTCCTCGCAGACACATCTCCCGCTGTCGGCCCCACAGGTCTTCAGCAGCAACCGACCCCACACGCGGAAAAACCGATCCCAACGGAGACAAAGACGATCCCCGGGGAAATAGAGACGATCCCTGGGGAGAGCAACACGATCCCGAGGGGGACAGAGACGATCCCAAGGGAGAAAAAAACGATCCCGAAGGAGACGGAGACGATCCCAGGGACGTCGCACTCGATGCCCTATTACAGCAGTAGTATAGCCCACGGTGGGGAGACGAGATCCTCATCAGAAGCGAAGGCCTTGAACGGGAGTGAGGGGCCCCTGTGGGGTGCGGCGGAGACGATCCCACGAGCGGAGGAGACGGTCCCAGAAGGCATGGCAAGGGCGGGGTCTAGTGGGAGCACTCACGGAGACACAACCAATGAGACAGGCACTTTGCGGGGATCGTCTGGAGTCGAGTCTGTGTGGGGTTCGGGTGTTGCGGGGGAGGAGACGATCCCCGTGTGGGGTGGGGAAGGGGAATCTGGAGGAGAGGATCGTCTCCTTCATTTGTCTGTCCCTCTATCTGCAGCGTTAGTGGTGCAGGGCCTTCTGGGCGTGCTGCTGTCTATCTCCATGCTGACATCGATGTTGTCTCTCTCTCAGTTTTACCTCATTACGGAGCCCTACTTGCAGCCCTATAAACCTCAAAGGAAATTCTTCTTAGTACAGTTGTTTGTATTCACAAATAGCTGGCAGCGTCTCTTCGTATGGGTCGCCGGTCTCCTCGGGGCCCTCCCAGGCATGCACGAGAGAGCAGGCATGTCTCTAGAACAGGCAGTAGTAAGCATACGCACACGCACACAAACTTGTTGCTGCTGCACCGCTGCTGCTACACCGCTACTGCTGCACCGCTGCTGTTGCACTGCTGCACCGCTGCTGTTGCACTGCTGCAGCGCTGCTGCTGCAGTGCATCTGAAGTTGATTCCCTGTCTCTTTTGTTCTGTCTCCCGCTGTCTCGGCTGCAGGCGCTGCAGCAGTTTTACTGTATTGCTGCTTCTACCTCTCACTGCGGCACCGTGGTGGTGCTGCTGCTGTCATTATTGCTGCTGCTGCTGCTGTTGCTGTTGCTGCTGCTGCTGCTGCTGCAGGACTTGTACCACAATATGTTGATGGGCGTCTGGGCCTTTATTTTTTGTGTGCTGCACCGCCGCTGCTTCCCCCCGGATGAACATTTCCCTGAAAAAGGAGAGGAGACAAACTGGGGAGACAAACAAAAAAAGAAGCCGCGCGCTCTGCATGCGTAGGACAGTCGATGCTTTTGCTGCTGCTGGTTCTACTGCTGCTGCTGTCTTTACTGCTGCTGCTGCTGCTGCTGCTGCTGCTGTCTTTACACTTGCTGCTGCTCCTGATACTGGGGGAGACGCTTCGGCTCCTATTGCTGCTGCTGCTACTTCTGCTGCAGCAGCAGCAGTTGGCTCTGTGCCTCTCCGCCCTTTCTCACCACCCGCGGGCTGCAGTCCCGTATCTTCAGAGCAGCAGCAACAGCAGCAGCAGCAGCAGCAGCAGGAAGCCTGTGTGTGTGTATGCGTGTGTGGGGTTTGCGTTTAGGCTGCTAGATGTGCTGTTTTCTTTGGATTTGATTACAGACGCCCAGGAGACAATGCTGGCTCCTCAGGTGTCTCTCGAGAGGGCCTTTTCTTTGCTGCAGCAGCAAACACTCAGCAGCAGCTATGAACGGTGGGGAGGAGACAGGGAGGAGACAGCAAGGAGCTGGGGGGTTGGTGCTGCAGGAGACACCACTCCGGGTGTCTCTACAGGAAGCACATGCAGAACGCCTCTAATTTACAGCCGCACGGCCTCTTTAAAAGGAGACAGTTGCTTTGGGGGCCCCACACAAACCCCTCTAGGGGCCCTAAAGGAGACAGCAAAGGAGACAGCCTGCAGCACGGAGACTGAAGCCGATAAGGAGACACCCAGCCTCGGCAACCTGCAGTGGGGGGAGGCGCTGCAGGCCTACGAAAGGAGGTGCTTAAGAGGAGACTCTGTCCCCTCCTTAGGAGACACCCCAACACCTTGCTTCTTCCCATGCAGAAGCAACAACAGCAGCAGCAGCAGCAGCAGCAGCAGCAGCAGCACAGCGTTCTCTTCTGCTTCAGCTGCATTTGCTGAAGCAGCAACATACAGCAGCTTCAGAAGCCAAAGAGCAAGAGAAGCAGCAATGGCGCGGTTTGCTGCTCTTACTTCCCCTCAGTCTCCTTACAGAGGAGACCCTGCAGCAGCACTTGCTATCTCCATTGGAGACTCCTCCTCTGCTTTATTGTGTTTCCTATCACACCGCATTGCACCGGCTCTTGCTGCTCACTCAAGCAGCAGCAGCAGCAGCAGCAGCAGCAGCAGCAGCAGCAGCAGCAGCAACGCTGCAGCTGAAGGGGCGAGGAGAACATCTTCGAATCCCCAGATGGGGGCCCCTTTGTTTGGGTCTAGCAGAAGGACTGCAAGGAAGCACTCAGCTCCCCCTAAGGGCCCCGTACGCTTCTCACTGAAGACAAAAGGAGACAGTTTGTCTCCTTATAGAGGAGTGCATCGGCAAGGGGAGGGAGCAGCAGTAGAGGCATTCACAGGAGAAGAGCCCCTTCTTCAAACGAATTGGCGCTACTATGGAGAGACACCCCAAAAGGAGACAGATATAAACCCTGCATACAACACGAGGGTGGGCCCTCATCTCTAGACATTCAACAGGAATGAGGTGCAGAGGCTGTCTCCTGGTGTGTGTCTCCTTTTACTCCTCTTTCTCTTGCCTCCTCCTGTCTGCCTGTCCTTTCTCTGCCTCGTCGCTTCAGGGGTCTCTTAAAGCCACTTCCAGCCCCAAACAACGCATGCAAAACGCATGCATGCAGAAGCTTTAAGTCCCCTTTCTCAGGTGTATTTTGGGGCATGCATGAAGCAACAGAAACAGATAAAGCGAACGAAGTCAGCCAGAGGAGACACCAAAAGGAGACACACAGCAGCAAGAAAGAAACAAGAAAAAGAAAAGGAGACAGGCAGCAAACTGCGTTTAAACAGCAGCAAGAGACTCCCCTCCACGCCTTCGTGAGGGGACACCGCGCTGCTTCAACACTGCGCAGACGGTCAGCTAGCTAGCTAGCTAGCTAGCACTAGCCATATACGCAGAGGAGAGGCCCTACAGTCTGGTGCATCGAGGCTCTATTAAAGCAGGAAAGGCCTCCGGAGAGAAGCAGCAGCAGAAGGGATCAGCTGGGTTTGACAGCACTCCAGGTGTACGTACAGCTCACGAGAAGAGACACCTAAGATGCATGCAAACGATGCCTCGCTCCTTCCCTCTTAAAGGCGAGGGGGACGCATGCATGCAGGGACAGAGACATCTCTGTGGGGCCCCCAACTCCACACGTTTCAGGCACTCAGCTGCACGAAGGTTTCTGTTGTTGCTCGTCTAGCTAGCTAGCCAGCTAGCTAGCTACTTAGCCACCTAGCAAGCCAGCTAGCCAGTGCCATCTAGCTAGCTAGCCAGCCATCTAGCTAGCCAGCTAGTTAGTACGAATCGGATAGCTAAGCAACGGGCAGCTAGCCAGCTAGCTAGTGCTAGCCAGCTAGCTGGCGAGAATCAGCTAGCTAGCGCTAGCTAGAACGAGAGCCTTGCAGCGAGAGGCCAGAGTAGTAAACCGACACTTGAAGCTGAAGTTAGTGAAGAGACAAAAAAACAAAGAGGAGACAGAAGGAATAGAAGGCCTTTTGTTTGGAGAGAGAGACATCCGCGCTGTCGTATACAGTGCAGCACATGCTTAAGAAGAGACGCTCCCTAAACCCTAAACCCTAAACCCTAAACCCTCAAACTATCCTTTAGGCTCTATTACTACGCACCGCTGCAAAACCACGAAAACCCCTCTCTCCAGACTGCGTGAGCGAACTGCTAAACCCTGAACCCCAAACCCCTAGGCCTAAACCCTAAACCCTAAACCCTAGAAGTTGAGTCCTGGCTATTAGTAACAATGCTTGCGGTGTACGTACACCTCAGTTTTCAGGTGTATGTACACCGCAGAGGTCGTAACCACACCGCAATAAACACCAACCCCACCGACCCCAGACCACCCGAAGGTTTAGACCCTTCGTATAAACCCTAAAGCCTAAACCCTAAACCCTATTTTTTAGACTTAAAAGAATGAGGCCTGAATATTAAACTCTAACTTCAGCAGAAGTATGGGCGGCCTTCTGCTCCCTTACGCGCAGACCCACCCCCCCGTGCAGCCCCAAAACTTAAACCCTAAACCCTAAACCCTAAACCCTAAACCGCATTCTTGCAGAAATATCTCTCCTCCCTAATATTTATCTGCTGACGACCTCATCAAGAACAAGACAGGGGCCTCCCAGGCCCTCAAGACCCTGGGGCCCTAGAAAGAGCCCCCCTCCACTGATGCTTCCCGAAGGTTTAGAACGAAGGGTTTAGGGTTTAGGGTTTAGGGTTTGAAGCTGAGGCAGAGGCAGTCAATGGGACTTGAGCTAGAAGGGCCCCCTAAAACGGGTGCTCCCTCACAACAGCAGCTTACTGCTGCGCTTCCCTCGCGGCAGCCCAACAGCAGCAGCAGCAGCAGCAACTATGATAGCAGCAGCTACGACAGCAGCAACAGCAGGCAACAGCAGCAGCAACAGCAGCAGCAACAGCAGCAGATTGTTCGATCGCCAGGTCATCGTAGGCGTTCGCTTCCGCCCCCCAATCTTATCTCCAGCCTCCTCCTGTAGGGTACAGTCCCCTTCAGGGGGCCCCCCACGGGGCCCCTCAGGGGGCCCCACAGAGGGCTCATCAGGGGCCCCCACTGGGGACCCTCCAGGGGGCCCCTCTGGGGGCCCCTTGGGGGCCCCGGCTGAAGATGCTGTTGGAGTGTCTCCTAGCTCGAAGCCACTTGGGGCCCCTCAGTCTGTTTGCAGCGGCTCTCAGAGCGCAGAGGCTTCATCTGGGGAGGGTACAGGGGCCTCTGTCTCCACATCTTCTTTAAGCAGTCTTACGGGGGGGGCCCCCGGGGGGCCCCCAGGAGGTCTGCGGAGGCCCCCATGGGCCCGGAAGGGCCCCAAAGATGCTGACTGGGCCCTACGAGAAGAAGATGCTGAGGGTTGGGTGTTAGCAGCTCCCTGGGCTTTAGACCTGGGGGGCCCCCTTAGGGGGCCTCCCAGTGGGGGCCCCTCTGGGGGCCCCTCGGATGGAGCGGGGAGGCAGGGGGGCCCCCCAAGGGTTTGGGACGGGTTTAAAGATGTATGCTTTGAGGCAGACTGTTTGCTGCCTCCAGGGTCTAGCAATGCTGAGGTGTATGCACAGCTGGTGGAGGGGTCTGTTGCTGCTGCTCTCTCTGGCTGTAATGCTGCTGTTCTTGCATACGGCCAGACAGCAAGCGGCAAGACCCATACAATGTTTGGAGGGGGGGCCCCCCAGGGGCACCCAAGGCAATGCAGTAGCAGTAAGGGGGGCCCCCAGCGGGGGCCCCCCTCCCAGGGGCCCCGCAGAGAAGCAGATAAGGGAGTTATTGAGATGGCTTTAAATGATATTTTTAAAGAGAGGGATCGAAGAGAAGCAACAGAAGAGGCCTTTGCGGTGTCTCTGTCTATGCTAGAGGTCTACCAGGAGACAGTTGTTGATCTGCTGCAGGAGACACTTGGAGGGAGGGGCCCCGGGGGGCCCCCTGCTCCGGGGGCCCTTCCTGTAGATGCACGGCCTAAGAGAACCATCGCTCTCTGCGAGAGGGCTGACGGTCAGCCACCACAGCAAACCCTAAACCCTAAACCCTAAACCCTAGACCCTAGAGCCTAAGCAGTAGACGGAGTCTAAACCCTAAATTAAAACCTGAGGTGCCTCCTAAACCCTTTTTTTTCACCGCGCTGAGATGCTCATGCTGGCTTAGAGAGTTAGGGTTTAGGGTTTAGGGTTTAGGGTTTAGGGTTTGGGGTGTATCGTGTGCTCAGGGACGCTGGACCTGGGCACTTTGTCTTGCTGCCCTGTCTCCTCTCTTTCGGAGGCGCTGTCTCTGCTGCAGAGAGGACAGCAGCAGCGGCATGCAGCAGCAACAGCAGCAAACGCCCGCTCTTCTCGCTCGCATGCTATCCTGCGCATTGTACTAACCCCCTCAGCAGCAACAGCAACAGCAGCAGCAGGAGCAGCAGCAGCACCGCCACCAACAGCAGCAGCAGCAACAACAACAGCAGTTCGAACAGCAGAAGCAACAGCGCCAGCAGCAGCAGAAGCCCCACCCAGGGAGCGTTCTTCTGGGGAGGGGCCCCCCAAGGACAACAGTAGCTCGGGGGCCCCCCCTCGGGGCCCTCGCCGTGCTTCTGTTTTAAGTCTTGTAGATCTGGCTGGTTCAGAGAGTGCAGGGGGCCCCCAAGGGCCTAAGGGGGGCCCCGTAACTCAGAGAGAGGGCGGCAGCATAAACCGCAGTCTCCTTGCTCTCTCCAAGGTAGTTAAGGCCCTGACACAGCAGCAGCAGCAGCAGCAGCAGAGGCAGCAGCAGCAGCAGCAGCAGAAGCAAGATGGTTCTTTTGGTGCTGCTGGCTCTGGGGATTCTGAGGGGCCCCCAAGGGCCCCCAGCACATCTCTGGGGGCCCCTACATCTGGGGGCCCCCGTCGGCATCTGCCTCCCTTTGTTGGTTTAAGAGAAACAAAACTAACTCGCTTACTAAGCGATTGCTTGGGGGGTCATTGCAAGACGTCAGTTATTTGTCTCTGTGTCCCTGGGGTCTCCTTCTACAGACAAACTGCAGCAACTCTCACCTTCGCTAGAAGGGCCCGCAAGATACCCCCACCCCCAGAGGAAGGGGGCCCCCAGGGGGGCCCCCAGGGGCCCCCCAAACCCAAACGACCACGCACAGCAAACTCGGAGACAGACAATGCAGCAGCAGCAGCAGCAACAGCAGCAGCAGCAGCAGCAGGACCTGGGGGCTCGGAAGAGAGTGCGCAGGAGGGCCTTCAAGGCAGCTCCTTAGGGGGCCCCCAAGGGGGCTCCCAAGGGGGCCTCCACCGCTCTGTGGTGTATGTCCCCACGGGGTGTCTCCAATGCCGCTCTCTATACAAGGCGCTGCAAGAGGCGAGAGAAGAGATAGCCTGGCAGAGGGTTCAGTTAAGACAACTGAAGTATGTTGTTAGCAGGGGCCTCCCATCTGCTGCTCCTGCTGCTGCTGCTGCTGCGCCTGCTGGCGCCGCCAGCAGCGACAGCAGCAGTTTCAGCAGCAGCAGCAACAGCAGCAGCAGCAGCAGCACCAGCTGTAGCAACGGCAGCACCAGCAGCAGCTATAGCTATAGCAGCAGCAGCAGCAGCACCAACAGCAGCTACAGCAGCAGCAGCTCCAACAACTACAGCAGCAACAGCAACAGCAGCAGCACGCCACGAAGGACAGAAAGAGACAAACTCTGGCCTGAGTATTCCCAGAGCTTTGCAGCAGCAAAAGAAAATGCTGCTGCTGCACCGCAGCAGGTGCAGCAACTAAAGACAGATTTTGACGGGGGTACTTGTTACAAACCCTCACAGCAGGGGGCCCCCCTCAACACCGGGGGGCCCCTCCGGGGGCCCCCCTTGGGGCCCCAAGGGCCCAAGGAGTAAAGCTAAGAAAAACAGCATAAGGGCTGTTGTTAGGATACGGCATTCAGGAGAAGCAACATAATCTCCAAACCCTAAACCCTAAACCCTAAACCCTAAACAAGCCAGCCTAAAGCTGCCCTTGTAGGCGTTCCTTTAAGGGGCCCTCGACTAAGGGGTCCTCAGTTAATATTGCGTAACCCTTAGAGAAAGAAGGGGGCCCCTCAGAGAAACCCTTAGCAACGTAAGAGTAGCATGGAGGCCTCCCAGCAACGCAACAGCAAAAACCCTAAACCCTAAACCCTAAACCTCGTTAAGGGGCCCCCAGTGTTACTCTCCTCCAGCCACATGCCTGCACACAGGCAAGAGGGTTTAAGGCGTTGGTGTGAGGGTTTACGTGTCTTGCGGGGTTTCAGGATGTCTGAATGCCCTAGGGTTTAGGGTTTAGGGTTTATAGAGGCTCTAATAACTAATCTCCCTGACAGGCTTAGGGCCTTCGCTTACAGTCCTTAGGGCTAGTGGAAGTGTGTCTTCTACGGCTGCATCACCCTAAAGGGTTTAGGATTTAGGGTTTAGGGTTTAGGGTTTAGGGGTTGGATCCGAGCCCGGTTCCTTAGTCTCTATAGGGTTTATGGTTTAAAGGTTAAGGGTTTAGGGTTTAGGGTTTAGCTTTTGCTTGTTCGCTAGTAAATTCCTACGGGTTTTAAATCACTGAACCTACACCACACATACATTATATTTTAGGGTTTATATTTTAGGGTTTATATTTTAGGGTTTAGGGTTTAGGGTCTAGGGGTTGCGAGTTGAGAGCTGCGAGCGGTCGGGCGGCTCGGGGCTGGGTTGTTTGGGGGCCCCACAAGGGCAATGGAATGCGCAAGACAAAACCCTAAACCCTAAACCCTAATTTTATGAATATAAGATATCCTTTTTAGAGGCCTCAAGCAAGGAAGAGAGGCCCAGAGATAAGAAGGAGTTGCAGCTGCTGCCGTTATTGCTGCTGTGGCGACTGAGTTCTGCTGCTGCTGCAGCTCTTGTTGCTGCTGTTGCGCTGCTCATCGGTATATGTACAGCGCCTTTCAACGGGCAGCAGCAGCAGCAGCAACAGCAACAGGCTCAAGAGCAGCAACAGCAGCAGCAGCCTCGAATCATCTGCTGTGCCCCCTAGTACAGCGCCCTTTGTAACAGCAGCAGCAGCAGCAGCAGTTGCAGCAGCACGAATAGCAGCAGCAGCAGCAGCAGCAGCAGCGTCTAGAGCATCAGCATTAGGATCCTTGACTCCACATCCTCCTGTCCGACATCCGAATGCGTGAAAGCGAAGTGTTTAGGGTTTAGGGTTTAGGGTTTAGGGTTTATTGATGATGTCGGGTGTACGGGAGTGCTACTACTCTATATTAGGGGTAGATATAACTGCTTCTCCTGAAGAAATTAAGAAAGCTTATCGCAAAGCAGCGGTGGAGAGACACCCGGATAAGAACCCGAACGACCCCACAGCTACAGCAAACTTCCAGCTGCTTCAAGAGGCCTTTCAGTGTCTCAGCGATCCCCAGGTAAATATATAAATAAATATATAAATAAATAACTCTATAAGATATATATATGTATATATGTATATATCTGTGCTAAGCCTTTCTATATATATATATATATATAGTTATATTTATATATGTGTATGTACGTAGAGAGATATATATGTATCAAGCCTTTCAGTGTCTCTCTCTCTATATATATATATTTATGTGTGTATGGAGATATATCTTTATATATATATGCACATATATATATATATATATATATATATACCCAATACAGCAACCCGAATGGCTGTAATTAATATAATAATAGTATGTGTAAATATTATAATTATTTTATTAGTTTTGATTATTTTAATTATTTTAATTAATTTAATTATAATTAATTATTAATTAATTTATTTTGTTATTTGCGTACACAGGAAAGGGCGTGGTATAACTCGCACAGAGATATTATTCTTGGGTATGCAAGCGGAGCATCACAGCACTCTGCTGCTGCTGCTGCTGCTGCTGCTGCTGCAGCAGCAGGGGGATTTAGTTTAAATCTTTTTAATTACTTTCGCTCGGGTTGCTTCGATGGCTTTGGAGATGAAGCTGGGGGCTTCTTTGAGGTGTATAGGCAGGTCTTTAAAGATATTTATGAAGCAGAGACAAAGTACTGCAGCAGCAGAGGGCTCCCCAAGCCTGAGGAGGTAATAAAACAAATATAAATAAAGATAGATGTAGAGATATAGAGTTAGAGACAGATAATACAGAAGCAAAACAAGAGAGAGAGAGAGACAGACAAAGAGAGAGAGAGAGAGAGAGAGAGAAAGTAAATAGACAAATGAAGAGACATTGCTGCATGCGTTGCTGACGAGGTGTCTCCTTGTGTCTCCTTTTGCTGCTGCTGCTCTCAGGCCCCTCCCTTTGGCTGCTCTTCGAGCTGCTGGGGAGATGTGGGGCCCTTCTATTCTTACTGGCTCTCCTTCACCTCTGTCAGGGACTTCGCTGAAGTGGACCAGTGGTCACCCAAGGATATGGCTGGTGCGCTTAGATGCTGCTGTTGCTGCTGCTGCTGCTGTTGCTGCTGCTGCTGGTTTGGTTGCTGCTGGTCTTGCGGTGTTGCGGTTGCTGCTGCTGCTGCATTTAGGGTTGTTGCTGTTGCTGTAGCTGCTGTTGGTGCATTCGTGGGTCTCCAAGCACTCCTGTTGCTGCTGCTGCTGCTGCTGCTGCTGCTGCTGCAGAGGCGAGTCGCGCTGAGCGTCGGTTGATGGAGAGAGACAACGGCAGGAAGCGCAAGGAAGCAAAAAAAGAATTCGTTGATACAGTCAGACGCCTGGCGCAGCACATCAAAAAGAAAGACCCCAGGGTCCTCGCAAGACAAGCTGCCCTTGTATGCTGCTGCTGCTCTTGCTGCTGCTGCTGCTCACTGCTGCTGCTGCAGCTGCTGCCCCTGCTGCTGTCGCTGCTGTTGCTGTTGCTGCTGTTGCTGTCGCTGCTGCTGCTGTTGCTGTTGCTGCTGTCGCTGTTGCTACTGTCGCTGCTGCCGCTGTGGCTGCTGTCGCTGCTGCTGCTATCGCTGCTGCTGCTGTCGCTGTTGCTGCTGCTGCAGCTGCTGCTGTGGAGTGCTCGTGAATGCGATGTGGCGTTTTGGGTGCTGTAGGCGCAGCAACGGCTGGATGAGCAGCGGCTTAAGGAGGAGGAGCAGCAGCGGGTACAGGAGCAGCAGCAGCTGCTGCGGCAGCAGAGGCAGCAGCAGCAAGAAGAATACTACGCGGCCCTCAAAGCAGAGCGTCGGGCTTTAAGGAAGCAAGGACAGGTGTTTGCTGACAGCAGCAGCAGCAGCAGCT